CTGACACAGAGGAAACTTGTTGCTTATATTCCCAAATGCATAAGCCAGATGTATGAGTCTGATTCTTGACCCAATGGGATGTACTGCCACAACCCTACTTAAAAAGATGTTCCAATTTCAGAGAGAGGCAAGCCAGAGCACTTGGCCTGATTTCCCAGGTGAGTAGGTGGTACTCTGCTGCTGTAGTCTCTGAACATGCTGCAGCCACCCACCCCACGGAGAAGCAACATCACCCAGAATGGTGCTTCTCCAGGGAGGGTCAGGCCAGTCTTTGATAGCTCCAATGCCTTGTACAGAGAGCCTGTGCCATTTCCAGCATCCTCAGTGTATAGCTGGGAATCTTACCTCTGTTCTTCATAAATAAAAAATCAGGCTTTACAAGGAAAAATGTACAAAAGTGGACACTATGTTGGCAATCTCACCAGCAATGACAACAAAATGTTTGCTCATATCTTTAAAAAAAACAGCAAAAGGCAGAAGCTTACTTAGAGCTTCTCTACCATCTGAGATCTTTAATCCAGTACCTGCCATAACCAGGTGACTGCTAATCATCTCAGGGATGCCCCGACTTCCTCTGTGTGGGCAACATCAGGACCAGCTATCCAACTCGGTTATTGTTTGGGGGAAATCCTTAGACATCTCTTCGCTTTTGATCTTTAGCCTGTTTATTAATATAAGTAAATACATAAATATATAAATAAATTTTACCCCCCAGATGGTGTTTTTATTCATCTTTTTCACCCAAGCATTCTCTTACATAAAATAATTCTTTTTCTCTTCTTTTTCATTGATTAACTGCTTTGCCTTCTCAAAAATAAACAAACAAACAAAAAACAAAACAGACAAAAAAAAAAACCACCTTGGATGAAAGAGGATTCATTCATCTATTCACTCAACAAATAATTATTGAGTGCCCATTATTTTCCAGTTCCTGTTCTAGGCGCTAGAGGTAAAGAACAGAACAAAACAGACAAGAATCTGTGTGCACGTGGAGCTCATACGTTACTAGGAAGATCCCCCGCAAACTGTCCCAGGAGCAGAACCCGCACTGGTACAGGTAGCCTTATTAAATCCAAGTCTCATACCAGCTATTGCCATATTTCACTTGCTTCTGCTGCCTTTGGCCAGCTCCTCATGTTTGAGGCCACTGACAAGTCTTCATCAGCGAATCAGGCCCCCTCAGGTTCCCCGAGCAATTTTCACTTAGATGGGAAGTATGCTAGAATTCTTGGGCCAGAAAACTTGAAATTTGATTTGCTGACACTGTTTCTGATGACCCAGCTGCAGATGCTAAGCCTCTTTCCTCTTCATTACTGGGGTAACTGCTGAAAACTGGGGCCTGAATTACAAAGACCAGGGTGATGAATTATGCAGCACCCAAGTAACAGCAAATTAGAAGTTAGTAGGAGCTGTCTGGTTTCTCTCCGAAGTTATTGCCAATTTTCCCCACACTAGCATAAGATCCAAGTGTTAAAATTCAGTCTGTTTCCTGGACCTAGTACTCTGCCTACCTCCCAGTAAACTTCTCATCTGGGCCTTGGGTCCTGCCACATTTGATCAGATTTCCCAGATACCTACATGACACTGAATTTGAGAGTGATGGCCGCTTAGATTCATGGTTAAGATTATGGAGTCAGGCTCATTAAAATCATGAATCAAACACTATTTGTAAGGTCTGGAGCAAGTGATTTAATCCTCTGTGCCTCCATTCTCTTGTCTGTAAAACAAGGATAATAATAGAACCCACCTTGCAGAGTTATTGTAAGGTTTCAACAACTTAATACGTATAATACCAAGAATATTACTTGCTACTTAGTAAGGACTCCAATGTTTCCTATCTCAGGAATATTAAACTCCTGTTTCATCGCCAAAAGCCAACCAGAAGAATGGAATGGGTTTGGATCTGAATCTTGTCCTTTATCCACTTTTCCTGGTTCTTCCAACTGCTTTTCCAAGGCCAGTCTCTTTGCCTGGGAGAGTTTGCCTTAAACCCCAGGTCCCTCACAGGCAGAGTTCAGGGTTTTCTGGATGGCTGCAAATTCTCTACCAGTTTTGTTATATGGACAAAGCAGCCCTACAGAGTTATAACACCTTATAAATCCTATGAACGGTAGAAGCCAGTACCGTACTATTGTATATATTTCAACATTAAGAATAGTTTTAAATGTTTCTGGCTTATTTATGTCATCTGTAGAATTGAGACAGACTTAATGAAGAGCATAAAATCCTCTTTCAAAATTCTTTGAGCTGAGAGAGAGAGGCTGTGTTAATATATAGCATGGCAGTGTTAATCAAGTTGCAGAATTAAGAAATTATAGACTCAAAAGAATAAAGTCTATGAATAGCTAAGTCAATCGTCAACCTTTAAAAAGAAGAATAATGAGGGACATTCACTTTATAAGACTCTAAAAGATGCTTTTAAATCACAGAAATAACAACAGTAGGATATTGATACAACAGGAACAAATAGAGCAATGGAACGGATTAGAAAGTTCAGACAAAGACCCAGGTACATATGGGGATTTACTATAATAAAAAATTGGCACAGGGGGCTTCCCTGGTGGCGCAGTGGTTGAGAGTCCGCCTGCCGATGCAGGGGACACGGGTTCG